ATGAGAACACATGGACACAGGGAAGGGAACATCACACACTGGGGCCTGTTGTGGGGTGGGGAGCTGGGGGAGGGATAGCATTAGGAGAAATACCCTAATGTAAATGATGAGTTGATGGGTGCAGCAAGCCAACATGGCATATGTATACCTATGTAACAAACCTGCACGTTGTGCACATGTACCCTAGAATTTAAAGTATTAAAAAAAAAAAAAGATATCCAGGTGGATAGTGGGATAAAATGTATTCCTCTGTGGAAGCAGGAGTATGTCAGCATGTACTGGGTTGGGATTCTTTTGGTTGCCAGTAGCAGAAAACTCAACTATAACAGGCCTAAGCATAAAGGAAATTTATTGGCTCATGTAGAGAAGAAGTCTGGGGTAGCAAGATTCAGGTGTGGCTTGATGCAGGGCTTACAAAGCTGACTTAGATTCCTGTTCTCTCTGTCTCTCCTCTCCTTTCTGTATTGTTTTAATTCTCAGTGGGCTTTTCTGCTGTCTCATGGTTGTGAGGGCAGCTCTGGCCTTTACATCTTCTTGGATCTATATCCAGGATGACAGAGAGAGAGAGAATTTCTTTACTGCAATAATATAGAGGCTCTCCAGTTGGGTGACATCCAGAACCCACTGCTGTGGCCAGGACGCCATGCTATATCATTTAGTTTAGGCCCATGGTGCCCCTCCTAGAGCTGGGTGCTGTTTGATGCCACATAAACCATGCTGGCTGAGGATGTGGGAAGGATAGCACCAGAATGGAAGAATGGTCCCTAGATGGCCAGAAAACCCCCATGGTCACTGCAGAAGACTCAAGGGTCTGTCTTCTTCCACCCTCCTACCCTAGGCAGAAGATCTTTAAGGAGAGGGCCTTGCCGGACATCGAGAACTACATGTTTGAGAATCATGATCAGCTGCGGCAGGCGGCCACCGAGTGCATGTGCAACATGGTGCTCCACAAGGAGGTGAGGCAGGGGCTCAGGAAGGAGACCCGGGCATGATCAAGGCACGGAGAGACAGGCCAGGGTCAGACCCTGGGGTGAGATCGGGGGCTGTTATGATGGCATTAAGGTAACACTTTGGGCAGAAAATCCAGGAATCCCTAAATCTTTCCTAGATTACAGTCCCCCTCCCTGTAGGGGCCAGGGCCCTGAGGCAGACACGATAGGTAGGAGTAAAGAAAAAATACAGAAGCTGAGGAGCTTGGAATCCAAGACCCTGGGGCTAGATGAGGGCGGTGGAAGACACCATGTTCCGCTAAGCCCTGTACTGGTAGGGCCGTAAATAAACTTAAAACAAAGCAGGATATGAGACCAGGGCCCTCTGCAGAGGTCCAGAGGGAAGCGTTTTCGACCGCGGTTGCATTTATTGAAGAAGCTGCCACATACATAAGAAAAATGAGTAGAAATAGCCAGAATACAGTTGATCAACCGAGTTCGGATGTCTTAAGATGTCAGCATTTTAGATGGAGACTACCGCTGCTTTCCCATTTTAGAAATCTGCCCCAATGCAATGATAACGGCTACTCATCACAGGGAAGTAGATTAGAGGAGGGTTTATAAGAAATAAAGATGGAATTCAGAACATGCTATAGCCTCATGGTCCAGTTATCGGACAAGGTATGATGGTACCGCTTCGTGTGAAAGTCTTCTTCTGTCCCATCCTGTCAGAGATCTGCTGCCGGCGCTAGAGTGGATAATGCCTGTTATCAGAGTATAACAGCAGGGTCTAACATTTGAGCGCCCTTCGGATTAAGCATGAGCCCAAGCTGAATGCGGCCGAGTGCCGGCAGTCCCTCCTGGCCCCCCCCAGTTGTACGGGAGCTAGCGAGAGACCAGTCGTGTTCTACCCCGCGCAGACGCGTGCTGAACCGTTACGTAGATCTGCTCACTGTTGTGAGGGGCGGGAAAACGCCTTACCCATTGAAAGCGCGCGCGTATTAAAGCCGAGTGCACGTGGCTCAGTGCGCCTGTGATCCCGAAACACGTGTGAGCCGCACGGTGGGTTGGGGCTCACGTTTGAAGTCGAGAATTCGAAAGACCAGCCTCGCGGCCGAAACAGTGGTGAAACTCGTGTCCTACTAAACAGCTCACAAACGTGTAGCCAGGGCACGTGGTGGTGCCCGTTGTCAGCGCGCCAGAGTGACTCTGTGGACGCGGTGAGACATGAGAGAGTTGCTGAACTTGACCAAGAGGTTACAGGAGCCGGAGATCATGTCACTGCCGAGACTCCAGCGCTGGGGCTGACAAAGCGCAGAGGGCGTCCAGTCTCAAAAAAAAGAAAAAAAAAAAAAAAAAGCCAGTATTACAAGTCAGGCGAGAGAGGAGAATACCAGGCTTCTACCGAGGCGAAGCTGCGCCTATAAAAGCGTAGGCTGGGGGCGCTGGAAGCCCATGGCGGAGAGCAGGAGTGGTGTCCGCAGGGGAGATGGGGTTGTGGAGGTGCGAAGTGTGAGGGAGGAAGAAGATGGGAGGAGGAGCGCAACCCTTTCCTATGGCGAGCACGGCCTGCTACAACAAGCTGCAAGTCAAAAATGTTCGCGAGTGCCCGTCCCAATCGCGGACTAGCCAAGCGTTCATTTCCTTGGCTCACGCCACGTCAAAGCTCGTACTTTGGATTTGGATTTGTGATGCGCTCACTGTTTTTTGTTTTTCTGAGTGCAGTCTGCGCTCCTGTCACCCAGCTGACAGGCGGAAGTGCTTGTGGT